ACTTGTCTTACCTGCATGCCCATCACATGAACATGGTTCATCCAGGTTCATTCTCGAAACACCTCAAAGAGACACTAACCAGGAACAACATTGCACTTATTGAAATAAGCGACAAAGTCCCTTCAAAAGAAATCCTTAAGGCAGTAACCCACCCAACGACTTATCGACGACCTCAACCCACGCCAGAAATAGACCATGACCTCCTTGACTTAGGCAAAAGTCAGTATAACAGCAATCCCGACGTGGCCAGTCAGTCCCCCTGGGATCACAGCTCCAACGACACCGTAAATGCCCGCGATCCCATTACATGCACTCCCAGCGACGACAGTGACCATCGGACTGCAACCACAGTCAATGGTTGCGACCAGATGATGACGAGTCACTCCATAGAGGAACAAGACCCTCGAGCTGCAGCGTCAGTTGATTATTACGACACGCAGGCCCAGGACCTGAACACCTTCCTGTACACGGGTGACGAGAAGTTCGAGGGTCCGCCATTGACTGACAAGCAGATGTCAGAAGGTTCTGCTAAGAAGTTCCGTCCCCCTAGAAATGGCAGAAGCCGAGCAAACACTCCAAGCGACGCCCCAAGCTACAGTCTCTGAAATGGCAGTCGTTAGCAGGATGAAAATTGTCCAACATAATGTCCTACACTGGTCCCTTAATAGACGTAACGAACTGTCTAACTTATACTATCAATTAGACCCAGACATCATTCTGTTAAACAGCATTGGCATAAAGGACGAAAGTAAGCTGAAAATTTTTGGCTACACTGTATACCAGAGGAACATGACGGGTGAGCTGAACGATGGTGTCGCTGTGGCCATCAGGTCACGGCTGAGTCACAGAGTCTTATCATATGCATAATGTACCTACCTCCCAGACGTCCTTACTTACCCGAACAAGAACTAAACCAGTTGCTACGCCACAGAAAACCAACATACATCATAGGGGACTTAAATGCGCGCCACGCCATACTAGGACACGGTAATGAGAACAACGTCGGTGTGGCGCTGTATGACAACATCAGAAGGGGAAAACTGCAACACCTCGGGCCAGATTTCCCGACATTGATCAGACGTGCCAGTGCCACAACACCCGACATAATCCTCTCTAACAACGAGGCCGTCCTGAACAGGCACGTTACCGCCGGACCCATCAGTACCAGCGATCACCTGCCAGTCGTCGTGACGCTCTCATCCAATCCCATTATGATCCCCGCCAACATCAGGTCAAACCTCAAACGGGCAGACTGGGACTCCTTCAAGGAGTCTCTCAGTCTCAAGCAGGGGAGAAACCTGGAAGAAGCCAGCCCCAATGACATCGACGACGCGGTCGAACAATGGTATAAGGATGTGAAGACGGAGATGGACAACAACATCCCGACCACCAGTTACAGGACCATTCCCCATCCTCACACTAGTCACCAGCTGAGGCAGCTCAGTGTCCAGTACGCTCACGTGAGACAGCTAGCCAGTATCCGCGGGTGGACGCAGGAGCTGAGAGACCGGTACCGAGAGCTACAGACGGACATCCAACACGAGAGCAAACGTCTACTACATGAACAAAAGTGGGCCGCCTTGATGTGGGAGGCAGCCAACAATTACCGCGATTCTGCTGCCTTCTGGAAAGGGATCAAGCGACTGATGGGTTCCACCTCCAGCACGGTCCCTTACCTGCTCGAAAAAAACAACGTGAAAATATTCGAGGAAGAAAACCAAGAACAACTACATCGGCGATATTTACGAAAGATCTTTACAATTAGTGAACAGGAGAACGAGGGCTTCGACAGGGAGTCTGAGCAGGACATTTTAGGTCAGTTGCAGGACCATCAGCACCTGCTCCAGCCGCTCCCACGGACTGACTTTACTAGACTGGTGGACGGAAGCTACCTGACGGAGCGCATAGTTCCTGTAGATGTGTCAGCCGTCATAAAAGGGTTTAAAAACAAATCACCTGGTCAAAGTCACATTAACAAGAAGATCCTGGCTCAACTCCCCGACAACACGATAGAGAGGCTTGCTCATATATGCAACGCCTTCCTCGCCTCTGGATACTTCCCTAAGATGTTCAAAATCACCGTTATTCGCCTCATACCAAAAGCAGGGAAGCCTCCAAACAAAGTCGAAAACTTTCGACCAATATCGCTGCTAGAGGTACCTGCCAAAATCTTCGAAAAAATAGTCTACAAGCGATTGCGGATGTATCTGGAGGACGAAGACGTGCATAATCCCCGCCAGTTCGGCTTCCGCCAGTACAAAGGCACATCCACCGCCATAGCTCAGGCCTACGAGCAGATCGCCAATGCCATGACTGGCCGCCTGCAGTGCAATATAGTACTGAGGGACGTCAGCAAAGCGTTTGACAACGTTTGGCACGCAGGGCTGCAGTATAAGATCATACAACTGGGGCTACCCGAAAATCTGACGCGCCTGCTGTGTAACTTCATTATTGACCGCAGAGCCAAAATCAAGATGCAAGAACATTTTGGAGAAGAATTCTCACTATCGAGCGGCGTGCCTCAGGGCTCTTGTCTCTCACCAACCCTTTACACACTCTACACGGCTGACCTGCCACCCCCAATCGTCGGCAGCGAGTACGTCATGTATGCCGACGATGTAACACAGATCGTCACCTGCCCAGGAAGGTCCACGGCAAGGATGGCGCGACTCACTGCTCGGGCAATAGAGGAGATCTCGAAGTATGAAAATAAATGGAAAATAAAAACAAACAAAACGAAATTTGAGGTCATACCCATAGCCAAATTCAAACCGGCTCCATTGATGATCGACGACGAAGAGATTGAGTACTCTAAACAAGGCAGGTTGCTCGGCCTCATCATCTCTCGGACGGGCATCATTCCCCACGTGAAGGACAGACTAAATAAGGCCAAAGACGCCGCAGCCAAATAAAAACGTTTTAAATTGATGCCTCAGAAGATACAAGTTCACCTGTACAAGGCGCTGGTGAGGCCTGTGTTGGAGTACCCATCTATACCACTCGTCACACTCGGGAAGACTAGACTACAACAACTACAGAGCTTCCAAAACAAGTGTTTGAGGTCAGCCAGTGGCCAAGCGCCACCCTACCAGGAGACAGTGGAAACCTTCCACCTAAGAAATAAAACAGAGGCCCTCAACTTCAGGTTCCATCGCCTAGGGAAGAAGGTTTGGGACAAGCTCCTGGACGACCCTCACAGCCCAGACCACCTACGCGGGGAAGACATCAACGGAGGGAGACCCCACGCCTGGTGGCCCCGGAGTCTGCCCGCACTACAACAACCCAACCCGCGACCCATCTATGTCCGCCACAGTGATCCACCTTAGATTAAAACTTAGATGATATAAATTCACATTTAACAAGTCACAATCAAGTGAGTCCATAACGTAATACAGTATAAGATTTTAATAAACTTGTAATTGTAAAATCAATCTAGTCATTGTCTACTAAAATAACCATTGTGCAACCTCATTCTAAATCCTAGGTTAGCTTAGTTAGCCAACAAACTCTGTAATATGTAAAACAAGGGGTGTCGTCCCCCTCTGTTTAACTCATTAAACTTCTTTTCCAACCTTTCCCCCCACGACTATATGTTGTGACTTCTCCATCCCTCATGTCTGGCTGTGCCTTGAGCCCCAGCATGCCTTCCATCCTTTCCCCACCTTAACCTAAAAAAAAAAAAAAATGGCCACTCACTTTCATCAGACTAATTATTTATAATAGTAGTAAGCCTTTACCACTATTTATATTTTTATACACTTGAGTCATGGATTATACGAATTATTGTAAGATATCCATGATTTACCCCTGACAACAAGCCTATTTCACGTTAAATGCACACGAAACCACTACCCTAACACGTACTTTAGGGCTCCTCTACGTGGTTTTATTTAAATTTTATGATTATTACGTGGGATTATACAAACTAATTTCCGCAATTCGTATTTTGGGTTTTATTGGGGGAGGGGGGGGGATTACTCAGATGCCTGTCATCATAAAACTGAATGAAAAGCATGAGTAAAAATTTAATTACATTGAAATTAAAATAAAACGATCTGATGCTTCACTATATACAGTAAAGGACTAAAGGGTAATTAAGAACTGGTCATTAGCTGTGATCACATAATCCCACCCTCATAATGACATGAATGGTGAACAGGTGAAAGTCGACGATTGCTAAACTTTGGCAAAATATATCGGACTGATCCATGAATAATTCTCTTTATAGTGACAGCCAAGGCTGAGCATGTCACTGCTGCAATAAATGTGAAAGGAATCGTGTCCCAAGCAGCTTGTGTACAAACAAGAGCCAGGCAGGACAAGAGAAGGTAGCTTCAGGTCTTCAGTTCATTGATATGACGGAATGCAGCTAAAATAAAAGAAGAAAAAACAAGCAATAAACCATTATAAGCTGAGTGAAGAAGAATTATGTTAAATTATTTTCTTTAACAAACAGAACGAGTTTATTGAATTATTAAATATAATAAGCATAATTTCCACAATGTGGTTATTATTAAAGAAAAAGAAAATGCTGTGCGTTGCAGAAGCAATTGTTTTGTGTGTGTGTGTGTGTGAGGGGGAGGGGTTAAGTGCAGGCCTATATTAGTGGTCTTCTTTTCAGTGAGCAACACAGTACTTACAGTGAAGTATTTTTGGAATTTATGTAAGGTCGTCTTCTGGCGGTCGAGGTTGAAGACGCGTCTACTGAGGGCGCCAGGCAGGATGTATAGTAACCACGGGAAGAAGTCCGGGATGGCCACACTTACAGTGGACTCTAGTATCCAGCGAAGCAAATTTTGAAGTTCCATTAGGCGTGAGTCTGACATTTCAAACTGCTTGCCTTAAAGAAAAATATAATAGATAATTGGGCGTGACGGATATATATATATATATATATATATATATATATATATATATATATATATATATATATATATATATATATATATACATATAGATATATATATAATGTGTCTGTGTGCAAACTTTTGCATTATAACCTTTTGCTTAGTTCAGGTACAAGGGGACTATTTTTCTGGCCTATCATGGATAACACCACAGGCAGGTACCTCTCCCTAGACGAGTAATAGTCACAGCGACCTGGTGATGAAAAAATATTTATTGATTTTATATAATATAATAACCCATGATATTAACAGTTCAGTTTTCACATATAATCCAACATTGTTTTAGGTCCTTCTCAGAGCACCTGATTTTGAGAAGTCTCTGCCAATGATCATACTGATGACTATCTCAATGCTGAACAAGACGTGGTGGCCGTGTCTCACAAGGGTGTCCATACTATGGAAGAACTCGGAAAGCTTCTGGAACTTGATAAGCCCCTTCTGCTCAAGCTCCGCCACCTCCCGGAAGATGCCAGACTCCACACTCTTGAAGTAAATGAAAAATTATCATTTTTTTTTTACGGACAATCGCCCACCCGAGCACACGTCATCGACGCACAACGGGGCCTGGGAGGGGGGGGGGGCGAAAAATAAGAGTAAAAAGAAGAGAAAACTGGAATCCAGCTTATTGAAGTGAGACATTTGTGAATATGGAAACACAGAAGAAGACAGAGCATTCCACAGTTTGGTTGCTGGCGGCTCACAGGCTGCTAAATCCACTGAACATTGCCCGTTAAGGTACCTGTAAAAGAAAGAGAGTGAAGCAACATTGCGGCGATGAGAAAGGGAAGAAAGATTATCAACTAAAGGAGGAGAGTTAATAAGACGAAATGCCTTTGATTCCACCCTATCTAACAGTTGGACAGAAGAGCCACCCCAGATATGAGAGCAGTACTCCAAGTTAGGACGAATGAATCCCTTATAAACTTGAAGCAACTGCTCAGGAGTGAAGTAGCTACGGCATCCTAACAGCATTCCCAGCTTTCGGGAGGCAGCTTTAGCAATGTTGTGGATGTGTGGCTTCCATGACATATTAGAGAAAATGGTGAGGCCTATCACATCAACTTTTGAATTTGGAAGAATGTTTGCGTCCTGAAATGTGATTACTAGGAGATCTTCTATTGTGAAAAGTGTAATGGATAAATATTGTGTTTTATTACTATTACATTTAACCATGTTTCTACCTCCCCAATCGGAGATGCTACACAGATCCGCATTGATAGACGAAACAATATCAGCTCTAGAAACAGATCTAGTTTGAGAGTTAGGGGGAAAAGAAAATGTGAAGAAGAGTGAAGAGTAGAATCATCAGCGTAAGAATGGATAGAATTTTGTTTTAGTGTGAAGTAAATCCTTGATAAAAAGAGGGAAGAGAGTAGGTGAAAAAACCCTGTAGAACACCACTATTGGTATAGAAAGAGCGAGAGATCGATCCCTCAACAACAACTGCCATGGACCGGTTCTCAAGCAAGCTAAACATTAGAGACCAAAGTGGGGGAGAGAAACCATTTGAGGGAGGTTTAGTGAGCAATGACTTGTGCCATACCCTGTCAAATGCTTTGGAGATGTCGAGGGCCACGACGAAAGTTTCCCCATAATCCCTAAGAGAGGATGACCAAAGATGGGTGCAGTAGGAGAGCAGATCACCAGTATATCTCGCCTAGCGAAAGCCATACTGGTGATCCGACAAAAGAGAAAAGTGTTTAAGGTGAAGAAGAAAATGAGAGTTTATGTTAGTTTCGAAAATCTTATAGAGGGATGAAGTTAGGGCAATGAGGCGATAGTTAGAGGAATTGGAATGGTCACCCTTCTTCGGGATGGGCAGAACCGAGGCATGCTTCCAAGAAGAAGGAAAAGTTTGGGTTTTGAGGCAAAGGCGAAAGAGGCGAGCAAGCACAGGGGCCAGAGCTTCAGCACACTCCCTCAGAACACGAGGGGGTATTCCGTCCGGTCCATGCGCCTTACTCACATCCAACCTGGATAACACACCAGCAACCCTACGAGTGGAGATTGTAGGAAAGCGCATAGGTTCAGTAGGAGGAGCAGGAGTAGGAAGAGTAGAGTTGGAATCATCTAAGGTGGAATTAGAGGAGAATAAGGTGTCAAAGAGATTTGCTTTATGAGGGGGAGAGTTGTCTATAGAGTTATCAAGTCGAAAGAGAGGAGGAAAAGAGGGAGTGCAGAAGTTATTACAGATGCCTTTGGTTAAGGACCAGAAGGATTTACTAGAGGAAGATGTTAGTCAGGCCAGCAGTCTTTCTTTTTATAAAATTCCGCTTGGCTCTACGAAGAATAGCCCTACAACGATTCCTAGAAGTAATGAAAGAGGAGTGGGTAATAGGAGAAGGAGAGAGTTTCATAACTTGATGTGCCCTCTCTCTCTCTCCCTACATGCAAGAGAACAGGAGCGATCAAACCATGATTATAAAGTGAAAGTTTTGGTTTAGATGGGATAAATGCACTCATACCACCCTCTATAACCCCAGCAATGCTGTCAGCACATACCGAGGTTTCCCGAGTGGAAAAGCAACATGTATCAGAAGGAAACTCGGAGAAGAATTTTAGCAAGGATTGCCAGTTTGCCCTCCGATAGTGCCATAGTTGGTGATTAGAGGGGGGTGGGGGAGGTGGTCGTACCCAGTTTGATTTAATATAAATAAGATTATGATCAAAAGACACTAAGGGGGCAGAAATTGAGTATGAATAGTGTGAGGGGTTAGAGGTAAAACAAAGATCAAGAATGTTAGCAAGTTGATCGTGTCGATCAGGAACGCGTGTAGGGTGTGTAATTATTAGTTCCAGATCATTAAGTAAGGAAAAAGAGAGTGCCTCAACTCCACCTGGCTCATCCCTTGCAGGGCCAAACCACTCTCTGTGATGTAGAGGATCTCGGTGTTGGGGTGTGTGGATAGCAACGACTCATGGCAAGAAGTGAAATAGTCAAAGTGTTCCAAATAGTTGGTAGAACAGTTTAGGAAACTAAGAAAAATAGTCATAGTTGGTAGAGATATTTCGAGCCAGATGACATCATAAAGGGACGATTCGAGATCCGTGAGTCGAGCTATAGGTGTAGAGTCAGCCAAAGATGAACCGACCCCACCCTGGGTTTCGTGCCCGCAATTTTACCTGGCAATACTTGGTAAAGGAAGGCTGGATGTAAAGGTGATTGTGATTGGTGGATCTGTTTCGGCTGTATCACTGTTAGGATAAAATATTAAACAAACCAAAGGTAGAATTATTATAATAATAAACTATTCATTGCTATTTAAGGTCATGTGTTGGTCACACTATATATATATATATATATATATATATATATATATATATATATATATATATATATATATATATATATATATATATATATATATATATATATATATATGCAAGTAAATGACTGTAGTTGCGCGTGATCCAGGTATATGCTGATAACTACAAGGAAAGAAGAAAACACGAAGTTCCCAAGCGCTTTCGTGTAATTCACATCTTCAGGGGTGAGTACAGACTAAAGAGAAATACAAACCAAGGTGTATATATACAGAGGAAGGTGAGATCAGGTCCACAATGGTCAGGTATTAGGTAATGACTTAGGGCCCGGATAGTTATGCATTTGCATATTTCATATGCAAATGCATATTTTGCGTGATTTCTATGATAAGTGCATGTTACCTAGATAACTGCATATAAATGCATATTTTGGTAAAATATTCATCTGGCAGTATCTCTTTGTTGCCACTGAATGAGCACACGTGGTACTGGGAGGTGAGGTGAGGTGTGGTTAGGTGAAGTGAGGTGAGGTCACGTCGCTTTAATCTGTCGTTTCCACACCTGGTCATGACTCATTGGACTTGTGAGTTAGTCAGTCAGGAGCAGTGCTGCTGTGTGGAGCTACTCTCTTCTGCTGCTCGTGAAAATGCCGAAAGTACAAAGAAACCAAAATGAAGTGCTGAGATCATATGTAAAGGAATTTGATGCATTTACTACTGATGGAAGTGTACTGTTTTGTAAATATTGTGAAGCACCAGTGACAGCGAGCAAGAAATTTCAAGTCCAACAACACCTTAAAACAAGCAAGCACATCCGACTCGAAGCTGTTAAGTCCAATAGTGCACAAAAGGAGCAACAACTACTTCTTGCATGTTCCAGTAAGTCAGGGCCTGATCGTTCCCAGTTCAACGCAGATTTGTGCAAGGCATTTGTTTCAGCGGATATTCCATTGCATAAACTGAATAACAAGTGCCTAAAGTCATTCCTGGAACAGTATACTGGAAAAAAGGTGCCTGACGAATCAACATTACGTAAGAACTATGTTTCACAATTGTTCAAGGACACGATGGAAATCATAAGGAGAAAGGCTTGTGGAAAGAAAATATGGGTGTCACTCGATGAAACCACTGATGTTGAGCAACGGTGTATTGTGAATCTTATTTTTGGTGTGTTGGGAGATGAAACAGATCGAGGCAAATACTACCTAGTGAATGTTGGTGTACTATCTAAAGTCAACCACTCCACTGTTGCTGGTTTCTTCAACGATTCTCTGCAATTGTTGTGGCCAACGAAGTTAGAGTATGAAAATGTTCTTTTGGTGTGCACTGATGCTGCACCTTACATGTGCAAAGCAATGAATGGACTGCAAGTATTGTATCCAAAAATGATCCATGTGACCTGTGTGGCCCATGGTCTGCATCGTGTAGCAGAAAAGCTGAAAAAAGTCAGTCAGATAATGTCTGGTGATGCTATTATTGACGAGACGGTACAGCCACTCACTATGTCAGACCTCCTATGTATGAAACATGCACCAATCGTCTCGTGTGATGTAGAAAGGGTGTTCTCAGAATATAAAGCTATGCTGACAGACAACAGGCGGGGTTTTAACTTTGAGAACTTACGCCACCATGTCATCATCAAATGCAACCACAATCTGTAATGTCTGAAAATATGTCAGTCTATAATGTAAATACATGTTCATATATATTTTTTGAAGCACTTTCACATATATATGTTAAATACATTACGTATATTGCTTAATAAACATTAACATTAGTTTATATTAACTATTTTGTTTCCGTATAACCTGCATTCTTGGCTTTATAAGTGACATTTTAGTGCATATAAATGCATATTTCATGGTTTTTTAGTGCATAACTATCCGGGCCCACTAATGACCCTACTAATCTTTAAATAGCACCACAACAGTTGGTAGTCAGGTCAGATGGTAAGGTGACCCAACCTTCTCACCTGGTTACAAATCTTCTTAATTACAAAATTGTCCAGTTTGTACATACCATTACTCAAATTCATGTTGAATGCTTCGGTATGTTTAATAAGACTAGATTCTATAATGTTCCTACTGTCAATTAAATTACAAGGTAATATTGAGGAGGCATCATCCCAGTCAATGCAATGCTTATTATCCCTCAAATGAACAAACAGAGCATTGGATTCCTGTCCTGTCCTAACACTGTATAACACTTAAACAACATAAATGGTTGAATAACTTAGTGCATAACTACTGAGTCATTGTTGAATAACTTAGTGAATAATTTTGTATTACACCTTTGGGTAAATATTTATATAATACAAATGGTGCTGTTACAGTCATAAGAAGTTTCCTAATTTTCGTATATATGCTGAAATAATGAAGGAAATTATATTAATGAATTGGCAACTCAACTAACACAGCTGCCACAAGATTCTCACATCAAATTTTCTTCATTATTTAAACAAATATGCGAACATTTGGAAACTTTTCATGACATTAAATAACAATGAATAGTTTATTATTATAAAAATTCTACCTTTGGTTTGTTTAATATTTATCCTGACAGTGATACAGCCAAAAACAGATCCACCAATCACAATCACCTTTACAAACAGCTTTCCTTTACTAAGTATTGCCAGATAAAATTGCGAGCATTAGACTCAGGGTGGGGTCGGTGCATCTTTGGCTGAATGTTCGTGTGATGCAGTAAGCGCATACACCTTATTTAGAACGGAAAGAGGTATAAAGGTTGTAGTTGGAGATTTGAAAAGGTTTTGGTGAAGCTGCTTTGGTCAGTTGAAGTTCAGATAGTAGTAAGATGTCTGGGGAAGAGGTTAATAGAAGGTGCTCCACAGAAGGAAAACTGGATCTCAGGCCGCGAATGTTGGAAAAATGAAGTGTGAAAAAAGCCAATCCTCCAACAACCGCGGTGACGTCAGTTGAGGCCCCAGTAGTTTGACGATGATCAGGTCGGCCCTGGGATCCACAACCTTCCCGACCAGTGGGACCCATCCGAGAAGACCCCGCTTTAATATTATTGTCAACTGATTTCATTGGAAAATAATAGAATAGAAAGAATAAAACAGATCAAGAGTGAGAAAATTTGTATATTTTGTGTTGTCGATTGTAAGAGTGACAATTGAGACCCTGCAATTGTGTGTAAATGAGGCAGAAATGCAGATCAGTAACCTGGGATTTAGTCACAATTTTTGTGATGCCATATGGCAGCAGGGTCTACTATAAGACAACACATTATGCTTCAAATTGCTTCCCAGGCGGTAGTACCTCCCGGTTTGATAGCTGCCTACTACCTACGATTTGATATTCAAATAGTACATAAGAATGGAGGAAACTGCAGCGGGCCTATTGGCCCATACTGGGCAGTCCCGTTTACACCCAACCCCTATTGCTCATATAAGCATCCAACCTATGTTTGAAGCTATTCAGCGTACTCGAGTTAATGATGATATTTGGTAACTTGTTCCATTCATCCACTACTCTGCTTCCAAACCAGTGTTTACCTATTTCACGCCTAAATCTAAATTTGTCTAATTTAAAACCTTTGTTACGAGTTCGCTCCTGGTTGGATAGTTTGAGTACCTTTGTAATGTCCCCTTTGTTTAGCCCTGCCTTCCACTTATACACCTCTATCAGGTCGCCCCTCGCTCTACGTCTCTCGAAGGAGTGCAAATTAAGATGCTTTAACCTGTCTCTATACTCAAGGTTCCTAATGCCCGGGATTAGTCTTGTCATTCTCCTCTGAATTCTTTCTAAGTATTTGAATTCTTAGTAAACACACACACAAACTTACACGGAAATATTGGACATTAGTTGTGTTGATCTGCACTATCATAGTGGTGGAAGGTTCGTCCAGGACGTCCCGGAGAGTCTGGTATGGTTGCTTGATGTATTGTACAGCCAGTACAGACATGAGGTTACCAGAGTAGCTCCTGATCAACACCAGCGCCCCAACCATCCACCCGGCCACCACCACCCGTCTCCACCACCAGTTGTCTGGCACCGAAGTGTCTGCGGAAGTGAACAAAGTGAAACGAACCATACTTCTGGTTTTGAATATATTGAAGTTATAAGTAAAATTGTCCTCTAGAACTATTATACGAATAACTGAAAGAAAGACAGAATATTAGTAATTGTTTTATATTTGTTCTATGCAGCAGATAATTTATTACATTCTCTCTGCGCCAGAATCTTTAAAATAATATTTGCCAACGGTAGTCATGATTAACAAATTTCCCTGGGAGATAATGAGTTTCACAAGAGTTTACCAACTTTCAGTGTCTTTGCTCAAAATGGGGTAACACGTTTACCTGATATGATATATTGTATGCGATAAAAAATAGTTTAACTAACCTTGTTGTAATAATATACGGAGTAAGGTGAAGCCATCCGTCACCCATACCCATTGGTCAGTATCTTTCATAGAGGAACACAAAGACAAGATGAACATGGCCGCAGGCAGCAGCAGTAACGACGCCAGGATGAACGCCCACACCAGTGGTGCCAGGGGCAGCAGGAAGCCCCATGGGTCCAGCTCTGGCCGTCCGAGTCCTGCTACGAATCTTGAGTACGATATAGACACTGGCCAGGTGAAGTCCACTACCTCAGCCCGGCTGGCTGATAGACTGAAAGGTCCAGTCGAGAAGTCTGCCTCCTATGTAAACCCAGCAATAGAAACAATATTGTACAGGTGTGAGATTGATGAAAGTGCGGAGATTAGTCATAAAATAATAAGGTAATGCGACATTTCTTATTTTCCTTCTGGTGATAGTTTGAATATATCCACAAGCTGGTACATACCATAGTCCATTGTCTCTCGTGCATACTACAGGCCAGTAACTCTACAGCTTTACTTTTTCACGCTGCTACAATTGAAGTTATCACTTAACTAATAACCTGATCACTAAGCACCCGCCCGATAAAAAACTCTCACCTTGTTTACTGTTGACGCTTCATACCACTTACCTCTCTGCTCACCATGCCTACCATTCCCGACCACGACCCGTCATCTTGCTCAGAGCCAAACGTCCCATCAGCAGGATGCACGTACTTGTACCTACGGTAGGGAAATGATGCTTCTTTAGAACACATCAGAAGAAGACTTGCAGAGAATCAGAAGGCAGTCTATTTTTGTTTTTATTTGAATAAAATGTCCCCCGTATTCAGTGCACTAGTGGACATATTTTCTTAACCAGGGGTAATTTGTTCATAACCATTTGTCTGTCTATTTCCTCCATCCAGTTCTCATCACCATGCACTTTCCACGCACCTCTCTCCATCTAGAATTATCTTCCCAGCACTTTCCTCACAGCATTTTCCATCGAGTATTTCCCACTGAGCACTCCTCACAGAACTATCAAGTACTTTCAACCCATGCAGCACATTCCACCCAGCGCCTCCTACCCGACACTTTCCACTCAGACCTTTTCATCCAGCAGTCACAACCTATAGATCTTCACCCATCAAAATGCTACAATCCTTACAAGACTCTCCGCCGATTAATCCAATACTCTCCACCCTATCAGAACCTGTAATATACACAAGTTAATAAATGTAAGCAATTTACACCTCTGGGTTCGAACAGGGCCACCACGGTTAGTACTCAGGCTTTCAGGTAGCCAGTCATATCCAACATTCTCCATCCAACACTCTACCTAGCACTTCCCATCTATCAAATCTTCAGTCATCAAATTTTACTCATCACCCGTAACCACCAATGCAACACTATCCACCCAGCACCATCCACCCATCACTCTCAACTCATTACTATCTACCAGGCACCCTCCACCCATCACTCTCAACTCATTACTATCTACGAGGCACCCTCCACCCATCACTCTCAACTCATTACTATCTACCAGGCACCCTCCACCCATCACTTCCTACACATCGCTCTAAAGCCAACACTTAATACCACACCCTTTTCATCCGGCAGTCTCCACCCAGTAATTTCCATCCAAAAAACCCAACCAGCACTGTCCACCCATCTGTGTCCATCCATTACTGATCATGGAACACTCTCCACCATACCGGTAACTTTTTTCTTCTCAGAATTATCCACCCAGGAGTCTCCATTCAAAGCTGTTCACTTATTCATTCGCTCACCACTCTCCACCTATTGCTCTCTATTCAACTTTTTCAAATCAGTGCTCGCCCCATGATCATTCTCCCCTCATCAATTTTCTTACCTCAACTCTCCACCCGCCACGTTCCGTCAATCAATTATTAACTCATAAATTTTTACACATCACCTCAATCCCTCAATCTAATGCTATACCCCAATAACTCATCATCCATTACAATACACCCGGAACTTTCCACCAAGCATTCTTCACATACCACTATCACTCTCTATGAAGTAAATGTTACATAATACGTCTTTGAGATAAATGTATAGTATATATCAGGTGCCTATAGGAGAGCTCAGGTTCTCAACTGGCTCAGCTATGTTAATATTGTTATTATTGTCCACTCTGTCTCTGTGTTTTTCTGGCTAAATAAACTGTTTCAATTCAATTCAATGTATGAATGCAACACTCTTCAGCCATCTCTCTTCACCCAACAGTCCTTGCCCACTAAGCCATCACTCTGTACCCAACAACTGTATGTATAACATTTATCGACTATTCAAATCTACACCCATTAACTCTCAGCTCACGTGAAATTAAGGCCTTGTGATAGGTACTCCAGCTTGTGACTCTTGCGACCCTTGGCACTATTCTGGGCGTGGACCTCCTCTGCTGCCACGACAAGGGTTGGTCGGTTAAGGAATCTACAGTAAAAGGCAGATGAAGTTTTAAAATTATGATGTTTAGTATTAGGGAAATATAAGAAAGCAATCAACATTTAAATGAATATAAGATGTGATCCCAAGATGGCTGTAGTATTTATGAGAAAGTTGCTAATTTCCGATATTGTTTCTGCAGTATTTTCGAGGATGTGTGTTATTGCTAGGGAGTTGCAGGTGTTTGCTGTTGAACAAGGAATAAAGTCACTCTTTTGGGCAGAGAAAAGTCATTTTACATATTAATGGGACCTCTGAAATAGAGAATACTTTGTAACATTTCTTAAGAGTTCCAGAAAACTATAGAGGACTTAAAAAATTCATACAAGAGGAGATGATAATTACTGTGCTCCTCTTAACAATAAAATACATTAAGATGCGTCTTAATATGACCTAGATCATTGTGATAATGGATTCAAAATGATAAATGCAATTATAATGGCAGTTTGCACACACTCTTCAAAGAAAGTTGATAAACCCTAAAGATGTGAATTTCAATCGGAAGGATAAGCCATGCCACTGAAGGTTCAAGTCGAGTACCTATCGCTGTACTTACTTGGAGTATTTGTCAGGGAAAAGTGGCAAGTGGGTATTGAAGGTGAGACCTCGCTGGGGCGTCCAGAAGGCAAGACGCATCGCTCGGTCCTCTGGAGAACTGTATGGTAAGTGTATGTACACATTGCACCTGTGAATAATACTTTTACTATAATAACTGTATTGGTAATACTTTCAGGATAACAAGCACAGCATGCTTCTTCTTCGGGGTAATTTTTTTTGTATTAACAGTGCTTCCAAAATCAGCCCCAGCATTTTTTTATGTGAAAAATTTGGGCACTACGTATGATTCTTTGATGAACAACACTCCCATTTATTAGTGTATAGTTAATAACTTTAATATAACTTCTTCATTGATTAAGTCATAATCACATAAACAAAATTTACACATAACATTGAAAATTAGCAAATTTGGAATACAATGCACTATATACTTCAATGTCTCAGGTGCGCCTTCAACAATGACGACCATAGCGTTCATCCTGGAAAAGGTCCTGTGGATGTAGCGTAGGCCCGGGAGAGGCAGGTGAGTTACGGCGAGGAGTCTCGTCGACCACACCAGGAGGTGGCCCTTGAGGGACCACTCGGCGAAGGCGGCGAGGAAGGCTGGGTCGTCGCTCACCACCACCACCGTCACGCACCATGACACCTGCCGCAGCTGTTGACGTCAACTTGGTAGAAGTTATGTGAGAGTGACCAACCCGCCTCATTAGTAATGTAAGAGTGACCTACCCGCCTCATTAGTAATGTGAGAGTGACCTACCCGCCTCATTAGTAATGTGAGAGTGACCTACCCGCCTCATTAGTAATGTGAGAGTGACCTACCCGGCTCAGTAGTAATGTGAGAGTGACCTACCAGCCTCAGTAGTAATGTGAGAGTGACCTACCAGCCTCAGTAGTAATGTGAGAGTGACCTACCCGCCTCAGTAGTAATGTGAGAGTGACCTACCCGCCTCAGTAGTAATGTAAGAGTAACTCTACCCGCTCCCCAGTAGTACAAGAGTAACCTACCTGCCTCAGTAGTAATGTGAGTGACCTACCTGCCTCAGTAGTAATGCAGCAGAGTGGAATCCCACCGCCTCAGTAGTAATGTGAGAGTGACCTACCCGCCTCAGTAGTAATGTGAGAATGAGCTATCTGCCTCAGTAGTAATGTGAAAGTGTCCTACCCTCCTCAATAATAATGTGAGAGTGACCTACCCGCCTCAGTAATAATATGAGAGTGACCTACCCGCGTCAGTAGTACTGTGAGAGTGACCTACCCGCTTCATTAATACTGTGAACGTGACCTACCCACCTCAGTAATAATGTGAGAGTGACCTACCCACATCAGTAGTAATGTGAGAGTTACCTACACGTCCCAGTAATAATGTGAGAGTTACCTATCCCCCTCAATAGTGATGTGAAAGTGACCTACCCGCCTAAGTATTAAAGTGAGAGTGACCTTCCCGCCTCAGTAGTAATGTGAGAGTGACCTACCCTCCTCAGTAGTAATGTGAGAGTGACCTACCCGCCTTAGTAATAATGTAGAGTGACCTACCAACGTCAGTAGTAATGTGATAGTGACCTGTCTGCCTTATTAATAACGTGAAAGTGACCCACCCGCCTCAGTAGTAAAGTGAGAGTGACCTACCCGCCGAGCCTCGTCGACCACCCGGGAGAGCTGCGCCTTCGTCACGTTAGCGTCCTGGCCGTCCACTGCCACCTCGAACACACCTACACCACAAGGGTCCCGGAACTGATCCATGAAGTCCTGCAATAATATCGCATCTCTTACACTGAAATACATAATTTCGTTTATTTGTATTTTTTTAAGTACTGCTAGTGGAATATTATGACGAAGACAATGACAGCCACGTCCACTTACCGTGAAGACAGCGGTGGCGAAGGTTTTGCCATCTATGAAGAAGAACATTGAACACTGAGGATTGAACGTTGTGGTTAACACGGTTGTCAGCCATGCATGGGGTGCTGCTCTAGTCTTTGATGTGCCTGAGGAAAGGAAATATTATTAGATGCATAGATTCAACAGGTGCCACGATAGCGTGCGGTCTACCGGGACATTTACACTATAGCGTGCGGTCTACCTGGGATATCTACACTGCAGGCTGCAATTCAGTATTGATATATGGTATTATTTATTATATATTAGAGTTTTATGATAAAAAAACAAAATAGTGATAAATATTTTTTAATGATCCTCATATAAACAAAAGATATAAAGGTGTTGAATAATAGCATAACATTATTGACAAACTCCGTATCATATTCTTTGTAAATGATGAACCTAACCTAACCCAACCCAACCCAACCCCATTTTATAAGGTTGGTTAGGGTCCTGGTGTTCAGGTAATCAGGTCGGGCAGGTTTGTAGACTACGGATATTGTGGTAGACCACACGCAATAGTAGCACCGATTCAATATATACTCGTATATGCAAATAAAACACTGTAGGTGCGATGATACATATATAAGCTGTGTGTGTGTGTGTGTGAGACTCGGTGAACAATTAACTTCAGCTATCACAGATAATCATTCGAGTCATTCCAGCTTATAACAGAGAGGACATATGCCGAAGAATTTGAAAGTATTTTATCAATAGCCTCTCACAAGTACTGTATAGTCCCGGACGGAAGTTCTTGATACAGTCAAGGTGGATGGTGTATCATGGCGTATCATGGACTCAGGGGTGCTAAATTACTTACCAAATTACTTAGCAAACTAAATACCAAAATAACATTGCCAAGTCTAAGTAACCATGAGTGTTAAATATAAAAACAGAAAATCAATGAAAACGTTAGAAAATAATTATAAAAATTTTCAATGTATGGGAAGTTTTCAAAAATTTCTTTCAAACTTTCAAGGTTCAGGTAAAACTTTAAAGATTAGCAACAAATTTCAAACAGTGGCCCACTGGTCGCTCGCTATCCGGTCACCGTCCCCAACACACACATAATTTTGTTTATTAAATCCACCATGACTGTATCACGAACTTCGATGCGAGACTGTACAATCCCCGCCTCCCCCCCCCAAAATTTTTTTTAATTAATCTGTCCATACAATTTGAAACGCTGGACGAAATACTTTGCTATATTCTCTAGTGCATCGTATGGTTGTTTTGACAGTATACAGATACACATGATATATACATTTATAAGATATCTGGTGGAATAGAACTTAAATTACTAGTCATTATAAAATTCTGGCAAAATTAAAGTGGATACTGTACTCATATGAGTGGTCGGCTGTACCAACCGTTCCGAAGCATCGAAACACGAGGCTGGATTCTGTAAAGTTACTCCGACCACAAAAGTGGCAAGGGCAATCCCCAATTGGAGGATCACGGCGCCATAAGCACAATGAACAGGCTTTGTGTAAAATATAACAAAGTCTAGGATTGCTTTTAGTGTCCTTGTAGCGTGGTTGGTAGCAATCCCTGGTCACAGCATAAGGTCGAGGGTTCAAGTCCTGGCTAGTGAGGTTGTTGATTATATGCTGAAGTCTGCATACTATATGGACTAATGAAATATAGAGTAATATATATATATATATATATATATATATATTTATTTATATATATATATATATATATATATATATATATATATATTTATATATATATATATATATATATATATATATATATATATATATAT